AACAATGGATTGGAATTTAATGACAAGTCTAGATAATCAAGTCATTATCAACCCTTTGGCCCTTGGAGTGACCAGCTTCCAATTTCTCCTTGCAAAATCGCCACCGTATCACACACGCATGAAATTTCCAGCGATCCACCCCTAGTTCCCTTGCAATTTTTTTAACATTTCAGAGGGAGCGCGAGCGCTTAAAGTAAACCAAATGCGCAGTAAACACACACACAAGATCAGGTTTCAAGACTTTGATGGTTTCAAGTCAGATAAATCAGCGGCCAAACTATCAAATAAAATCGGCCAAAAGAGCTCAAATCAATGTCCCAAACCAATCTAAAAGTAAGAAATTAATTATTTTTCTACCGCGCGACAAAATCCCGAAATTGTTTTCCGATGCAAAGGAAAGTGAAATGTGTTAAGTCGCCAATTATTCAAGCCAAACTAAACCAAACCAAACATTAAGAAACTTATAGCATTTACAATGAGATAAATTTGCAGCTAATTTACCAGCAAATATCGGGTAATAAGAGCCAAACATTGAAAAGAGAACCTCTAATAATTTGTAAAGCGGGGAAAAACGCCAAACTTGATTTTCACAGCGAAAGATAAGCGAACTGTGTAATTGATGACGACGAACGCAAACCATATTTTTAACACGATTTCTAGTATTTTTTATGGGGCAAATTAGCGGCCAAATACCAAATAAGATGAAGTCAAATAGAAGCCAGATAATCTCTCCGAAAAAACCCGAAAACGAGAATCGTACATCACAATTTTCTCGCCCGAGAAATCATCGCGGCTAAACCGGAAATGCCAATAACTCCTGAATACAAAACATGGCTAAACCCAGTAATACTAATCATTACGGTGAGTACAAATCTTTATTATTCGAGTTTCTTTTAAGATTGTATCGACACTTGAATGATGAGGACTCAGGAGATGAAGGATAAAGCGAAACGTTTATAAATTTACAACAAATGATAATCTGCAAAGCTCGGGTGAATTTGAAAGTTTTTGGCGAGCGTTGCGGTTGGTTTCTTCGACAATCGAATCCCATAAATCATCATCTACAAACTCTACAAAGTAATGTAAAGGTTTAGGAATGTCAGGTAAGTTAAAATTAAGGCCAGTTTCTGCTGTGAAGTCCGGGATGAGAAAGTTGCTGCGATGGTCAGTCCATCGAGCTTCTTCGTCTTAGTCGTCACGGTACCTCCAGGTGCAGGGCCGCCACTCTCGTCCTCCAAGCCTTCAAGATCTACATCACTACCACTATCATTATTACTACGTCTATGCTCAAACCCATCAAAGCTTCCTTCATCCCCTGAGTCATAAAAAACAGCCGGAACATCGGGTTCTCTCTCATCGTTCTCCGCCATTTTCGCACGCAACTCAGTCGCAAGTCGATCGCACGCGTGAAAAAATTTTTTTAGAAATCCTTACCTCGTAGGGCGTCTCATCAGCTGTCAAAATAGGCGCAAAAGACGGCAAATGATTGGCTAATTACCCCTATTTATCTCTATGACAACAGAATAACCAAATACCCTAAGGGAGAGTAGGGAGAGGACCTAGTCCGCTCGCACTTTTTTCGGGCGGTTACGGGCGGCACAGGGAATTCAGGGCCGAGTTGTTCAAAGGTAAAGTGCTGACTCTTCCAAATTTGAAGAATCATACAGAGGTGGGTCAAGGATGGAGTAGACTGTCTCAGATTACAAATGAAAACTAAAAAAAAGGTTAGTCTTGGTCGTGGATTAAAATTATTTCCAACTGGCTACGTTCCTAAGTTTTTTCTTCCTCTGAGCCCTCTGTCCCACACCCTGGGGTTAAAGAGGGGAGCAGGGAGGGGAAATTTCAACTCCAAGCCCTCTATATCTCACCCGGGGATTGAAGGGTGAAGGGGAGTGGGGTGAGGATAAATTTTGGGAACGAGGCTTCTTTCAATACTGACCAAGCATAACACTGGATTAGAGACAGCTTTGCCATGTTCCATGTTTTAAACAGCTCAAGGATCCCATTACAGGAGGTG